AAGAACATCAACTTCAGTTTCTCGCAGCAGCACGATGCGCGGTGGCTTGGTGAAAACTCCACCCACACTCTGCTGTCTCTGTACAACAATGGGTACAATGGGTTCAACCGCACCCACGACTTCTCCTCGGGCATGATTATCTTGATCGATCACCAAGATAACACCGCCACTCAGCTGCACGACTACTCCCCTCCCGGCAAGACCATGATCAGCTCCAGCCAGGGTAACATGCAAGTCCTTCCGAACAAGAACGTATTCATTGGGTGGGGTAACAACGCCTATGTTTCGGAACATGACGAAGAAGGCAACGTGCTGCTCTGGGGCTACATCGACAAGGATCGCATCATGAACTACCGGGCGCAAAAGTTCGAATGGGATGGAATGCCTACCGACGTGCCGGCTCTCTGGACGTACTCGCAATCAACCGACACCTTCTCTCCGACGACGTTCTACGTCAGCTGGAACGGAGCTACGCGTGTGAAGTACTGGCGGTTCTACGGCGCGACCAACTCGACTGGCCCGTATATGCTCATCAAGCAGACCGAAAAGAGAGGATTCGAGACGAGCTATTCGGCACCGCACTTCTACCGCTGGACCTACGCGGAGGCGGTGGATGTGGAGGGCAAGGTTCTGGGCAAGTCGCGCAGCATGTTCACCTTCACGCCGTCGCCCGATCTCCAGGGCTACTGTGGCCGGGAGTCATGTGAGAATGCGCAGACGTATGGAATGCCCGGCGAGGAGGGCGCTGGACCTGCCATTCCCCCGGCTGGAATTAACACCGTTCCTTGGGTCGATCCTGATCACCCTGATGCACACTTCGATTGGGGTCAGACCGGTGATGATGAGGAGGAGGAGAGTGAGAGCGGGTCCGGCAATTTGAAGAGTGTTTATGGTAAGCAGACTCCCGCTGACGGCAGGAAGTATAACCCCGCTGACTATCGCAATTTAGATAACAACGTGGGATGGATCGCCCCGGTCTTCGGCTTTGTCGTTACCATCGTGGCCATCTATACGATCATGCGGATATACCGGCGCCAACAGCAATTTAGCCGGGTGAAGGAGAGGGCATCGACGGAGAGTGTCGATAGGATCGAGAGGTCCAAGCCCTGGACGGAATCGGAGACGCCATGGTGGCATTGGCGACGCTGGACGAAGTCACAGGAGCCACCGCGGTATTTTCCGTTGGCAGAACAACGGGGTCCATCCTGGCGAGCGGATGAACATTATGTGCGATAGATAGATGCACATTATAATAAGTGTGATTATTGATGTGCTTATAAATGAATATAAAGATAAATATTTAACTTATGTATAAACAACAATCTCTTTCCTTTCTTCCAATTCAAACATACGATCTATCTCCTTGAACCTTGGAACCATACCATACAGCGGCTAATACACGGGACGGTCATCGGCTGACGATACATACATACATACATACGCAAAGCCGAGCAAAGCGGCAACGAGCCATAGAAATGCATGACGCCGACAACGAGTACAAAGTTAACTAGTAGCTTAGTAGTTTTTAGCTGACAGGAAAGAAAAACTGACTCGTGCGGACGCAGCCCCGAACCAACAACCGAAACTGCATGTCACTTCCGTCACTCGCTACTACTTTTATCTACGCATCGAATTGCGTACGTATGGACTGAAGGCTTTGATCTCTGACGTCTGACGCAGCCTGCATAACTTTCGTTTAGAAAGACCAACAAAAAAAAAGTTTTCACCTGCCCCATGCACATCAACTAGCGGAGAGGTCGGAATTGATGCTACGTAGACACACTCTAAAAGACGCATGGATTGGGGGTTTTGTTTCATGGGAACGGAACGGGAGGGAAAATATTTCAGGTCGTCTGGATGAGACGCTGGTGAGGGTCTGTTTAGCCGGGGGAGAGATAAGTGGAAGTATCATCCTAGTCCTATCTAGTTACTTTGTAGAAAGAGGAAGAGAGAGAGTGGGTACAGTATCAATTGTGTCGAAACTCGAAACAAAAGTGCCAAAAAAGAAAAGAGGAAAATTCAACGGGGGGGAAGATAGAATGGATGCCAAGACGCCAAAAGGCCGGACGAGGAAGGAACGGACGAGTTGAGGTGGAGAACCGACGAAAGAGTCGTCGCAAGCTCGGGGATTCGTTGCCGATCCGAATGAAGAATAAAAAGGATTTTTTGGAAAATGGTTTTTTATTTAAATCGATTTTTAATTTATTCGGCTTATTTTAGTTTCACGAGTTATTTCCCCTTTGGGCGTATACTTCATTAATTTCCATTCAGTAACAATCAGTTGTTCAGTACATCCAGTAAGTTGTAATTCCCAGTTCTTACTGAGTACGGCAGTTCTCCTGATGGTCTTCTCTGTTTAGTCTTCTCTCTCTCTCTCTCTCTCTCTCTTTTCACGATCTTCCCTTTCCATTCCTTTCTTCTTCTCTCTTTCTCTCGCTCTCTTACTTCCTACTCTCAGTCTCTCATTCTCGCTTCTTCTCTTTTCGTGGATCCCGATCTGACCTGACCTAAACCAAACCATCAAGCCCCGGTCCGGCCCCTCCCTTCCTTCTTGTTCTTCTCCAGTACCGTGGGCTGCCCTATCATCATTCGCCGCCCCCCCCCCAAAAGGTAACTCTCCAATGCCTGCGCCAAAATCCGGCTCTCAAGGAACCGCCGGGCGTCCGTCGCTACCCTCTTTATCGCTCTCCTCCACCACCCCTTCCTCGGCCATCTCTACTCCAGCGGCCACTCCCAACCCCCTCTCGGCCACCTCCTCCTCCTTCGCCCAAGCCTCTAAGAGCCGGAATGCTCGTCATACCCGAGCCACTTCCTGGACATCCGGTCACGATCAAGGCGGCGAACCCGACCCCGCGGACTTTACCTCTTCTCAACAACGTCGTCGCCGAGAATCCAACATCTCGTTAGCTGACCTCTCTGAGGGCTCTTCCGGCCGCTACGACGACGATTACGACGATAATCGCTCTCACTCCAACATGGCCGTGAGGAACACTTCCTTCGACTGGGGTCCTGGACACGCTCGCAGTCGCTCCCATTCCTACAGCCAGCCACAAATGTCTCTCCTACAACCTCAAGAACTGGCCGACTCGTCGGCTCCCCGGCCTCGTCCAGCACCCGTTACATGGATGTCCCTTCCGCGCAAAGGGCAGTTGGCCCTCTTGGGTCTCTGTCGTGTCTTCGATTTCCTCCAGATTGCCTCCCTGCAGGCATACATGTTCTACCAACTGAAATCCTTCGATGAGAACCTCTCCGACGCCGATGTCTCCACCCAGGCCGGTATTCTCCAGGGTGCCTTTACCGCCGCGCAGTTTGCAACAGCTATCCCTTGGGGCCGTGTCGCCGATGCAGAATGGGGTGGTCGGAAGTTTGTTTTGCTGGTTGGTCTTATTGGTACCGCGCTGTCCTGTCTGGGTGTTGCCTTTTCGACGTCGTTCGCGCAGGCCGTGTTCTGGCGTTCTTTTGGCGGTGCCATCAACGGAACAGTGGGTATTATTCGGACTATGATTGCGGAGAATGTCAAAGAGAAGAAATACCATTCGCGCGCGTTCCTGATTCTGCCTATCGGGTTCAACGTCGCCGCGCTGTTCGGACCTGGTAGGTACTCTGCTGTGATGTATGTGGCTACAGCTAATTTCTTTTAGTGATGGGTGGTATGCTGGCTGATCCGGTCAAGGCGTATCCTCGACTCTTCGGTCCTGATTCTTCTTTCGGCGGCGCCGACGGTGTGCAATGGCTCGTTCGCTACCCGTATGCGCTGCCCATGCTGGCGAATTGCATTTTCCTGACATTTGCTGCGGTCTGTGTCGCCATCGGTCTTGAAGAGGTATGTTTTCTGTTGAAATCCGCTATGCGCACTGCTAATGGACTGCACAGACTCTGGAAGCTTGCAAGGGCAAGCCCGGTCTGGGCGTGTTCTCGATGCGCATCTTCGCTCGCGGCATCCGGGCAGTCGTTCCCTCGAACTCTCCGCTGTACCAGAGACTGCCGTTCGCGGATTACGATGAGGCTGGTCCTCTGCTGAACCGCAGAGACCCGGCCGAAAGTTACGAGATGGAAGAGAAGGCGACCAAGGCCAGCCGTCAAGCTCGCACTTTGCCTTTCCGCCGGATCTGGACCAAGAACGTGCTGTGCACGCTGTTGGCGCAGGCATTCTTCGACTTTCAGATGGGTGCTTTCAACAACCTCTGGCTACTTTTCCTCTCTACCCCCCGTTATGATGCCAACGACCCGGCCAGTCCGGTCCAGAGTCTGCCCTTTATCTTCACTGGCGGTCTGGGCATGCTGCCACAAAGTGTTGGTTTCGCTACCGCCATTCTCGGTGTGATTGGCATGCTTCTCCAGTTCACCATTTACCCCAGCATCAACAACCGTTTGGGCACAGCCAAGAGTTACCAGTACTTCTTGACCCTCTTCCCTCTGGCGTACGCATTCGCGCCATACATTGCTCTTGCTCCGTCGTCCGCACCCCCGCCGGGCCAGGCCAACGGCGGATGGGTGTGGTTCTCCATCATTGTGGTCTTGTTCCTGCAAGTGACCGCACGAACCTTTACTCTTCCCACCTCTATCATTCTCCTGAACAACTGCTCCCCGCACCCGTCAGTGCTCGGCACCATCCACGGCATCGGCCAGTCCGTGTCCTCGGCGTTCCGTACCATTGGACCGATCTTTTCCGGATCGTGGTACGGCTACGGTCTGGAGATGGGCATGGTCGGGTTCGCGTGGTGGCTGATTGCATTGGTGTCGGTGTTTGGCTGCGTGGCAGCCATCTTTGTCTACGAAGGTTCCGGACATGAAGTCTTCCTTCCCGGTGAGGAAGAAGAGCGGGACTAAGACTTGCTTGTTTTATTTTCTCATATCACTGCACAGGCGTTAGAGTTGCTTCTTGTACATATATATAATGGACCCATTGCATAGCGGTGTCCGGTCGTGTGCTTTGGATTTTGATCTGGTTTGGGATGGTTCAGCGGTTGCTGTTGATATATTATACCTGTTGTTACATTATGCATTGGATGACAAAAGAGAGAACAGAGAGGATAGATAGATGGATGCATGCATGCATCTAATAGAAGTTTTGCTCGTGCTTATCATCATAACATCGTAACTGTTAATGTAGTGAGTGTGGAGGGAATGTGCATGTCACCGTCTCAACGCCGCAAATCGTCTCGTCAACTCATCCAACTCGGGTATATCACTCTTCGCCGGCTTCGACTGCCTTGCCTCTTTAGACACATCCTCCTCCCCAGGTACCTTCACCTTGGGATTCAAATTATCCACCCTCGGCCCCGGCGGCGCCACACTCACTGGACTCTTTCCCTCAGAATATAGCCCCCGCGGCGGCGTCGCCTTATTCAACTCCATTGTCTCGGATGCCCGGCGCACGTCATTCTCACTATCACCAGACTGACCGATCTTCCTCGGCGTAGACGGCAACTTCACATCTCCACCACCATCACCATCACCCTCATCCCTATCCTCATCCTCCACAAAACTCGGCACATCCCCCTCCGGCGAAGCAACAGACCCATCCGGCCAAGTAACCCCATACGCCCTCGCAATCTCAACAAGATAACTCTCCACCAACTCCTCCGAAGGCGGCTTCACCCTCAACCCCCTCACCAACCGTTCCGGAACCTTCACCTCTTCCAGCTTATTCTCCTGCGCCAGCATCATGAAATCCTTCCCCCATCGATCGCTAAGTAATCCCCGCAGGATCGTCATTTCCCGGATATCGTGCGGGAACCGCGCATACGAGTAGAATATCACTGCCGCGGCTTCGTCGAGCGCGGGGTCAATGTAGCCTTCTTTTTCCACTGCGCTTGCTTCTTCTCCACCACTCTCGTTTGTTGTGGGGGTTTGTGCTGCTTGTGATGTAGTTTGATGGGTTTGTTGTTGTTGTTGTGGTTGTTGTTTCCGCCCGAACCCCCAAAACGAGAACCCTGAGCTTTTCCCCTCTGCACCTTTAGATGATGACGAAGTAGATGAAGTAGCTTGATGGCGTTGCGCCTCCCCCCGCGCTCTACTCCGCGCGCGCGCCCCCTTCTCCCCAAAGGCAGATTGATCGAGGAGATTCGCCCGCGCGAGAAGTAATTCGCAGTAGAGTTCTACCATCTCCATTACTTCGACGGCGGTGTCGGTCGCGATTACATTCTCGACGCGGATGCGGGCGCTCGTGGAGCGGTTCTCGGCTAGCAGGGTGGAGAGGTCCCGACGTTGGACGACGGAGCTGGCGGTGTCTTTCTTTTGGAGGAGGCGGAGGCGTGGGATTAGGAGGTGGAGGGTGCTGGTTAATTTTGCCTGGGTTTTTTGTTAGATAATTGGAGGGGGGGAAAGTTGGGGTGGTTGGAGGGGTGGAGGGGTGCGGGGGGGAGGGAGATGAGGATGGTGGATTGGGGGGTGTGGATGGGTGGGGTTGGATAGAGGGAGGGCGTACTGTTTGTGGTGAGGGAGGCATCTTGGTGGTTGTTGTTGTAGGTGTGGTGGTGAGTATAGGAGTGTAAGTGGTAGAGAGAGGGAGGTGGTGAGGAGATGACGATGATGTTAGGCAGTGCAGGTGGAGGTGGAGGTGGGCCGATTGGCTTACTTCCCGCTTTGGCATTGACATAGGCTACTAACTCCGTACGTCTTCTGTTTCTACTTTATCCAGTTTAACATTACTCCACTTTAATTGTGGCTATGGATTTCATCTGAAAATTCTTGTCAATTGCACTGCCACTCATTCAAATACGTGGAATTTAACTGTTCAATGGAAGCTCGTACGAGTGAATGCGGGCTGTTCTATCCTCTACCCTATGATCATGCTAAGTGGCATTTGGCACTTGGATTACAGATTAATGACTATATTAACAGTAAACATTATCAATAAATGCTCATCAATCAAGCATGTACAAGAACGTCAATCATAAGGGTATAAAGTATAGTGTGAAAAAGGTGCCCATCAGAAGTGAACCAAGAAAAATGATGGTGAGTATGCAACCATTTATGGTTTGTTAGTACTAGTCAATATGGTCTGGTCTCAGTCTAGACCATTACAATCGCTCCAAGGACCGCCACAATCAGACTCAGCTTGGACACAGCAGTGCCAACAGCAGCGCCATCCGCCACAGCTGCCGACGGTGTTGCTTGAGCAGTTCCAGATGTCTGGCTTGAACCACTGGCAACAGCAGCAGCAGCGACAGGATTCGCGTGCGAGGAGCCTGTCTCCACCATGGCGTGTGGCTTGTACGTGTAGCTAGCCGACACGGTCCAGTTCAATGCTGCGCTCGAGCTGACCTTCCAGCTGGATGAAGGCGTCCAGCTGGGGGTGGGCCGGGGAGTGATGCTGCTGGAGCTGGAGGTGGTGATTGTGGAGCTGGAGCTGAGCGTGGTGCTAGAGGTAGTAGTGCTGGACGGGGTCGGGGTCGGGGTCGGGGTGCTGCTGGTAGTGCTGGTGCTGGTGCTGACAACCGTCGACGTGCTGCTAGTAGTAGGGACGATGCTGCTGGTCGAGGTGCTGCTGGAGCTGGCGCTGCTGCTGACCACGACGCTGCTAACACTGCTGCTGGACACCGGCACGCTGGCCGAGTCGCCTTCCTTGTCGAAGACAACAACATTGGCCTTGCCGCCCTTGGGCACCGTCACCACACAGAAGGTGGCACCGCCTGCACCCACCGAGCTGTCGCCAGTCATCTCGTTCACGCCGTTGACGGACGGGTCGATCTTGCAGGGCAGTCCATTGCAGCCGCCTCCCTCGCACTCGATCTCGACACCAAATTCAGGGACTTCGTTGCGGAACGGAGTGGTCGGTTCCAGGTAAATCGGGTTCCATCCAAGCTTCACATAGGTGTTGCCGTCGCCGTCGGTGTTGGCGCCGGCAACATACGGGGACCAGTTGCCGTAGGGGTTCGCGGAGGTACCCCAGACACAGGCCGTCTCGGTGTTGTATCCCGGAGGGTTGATATAGAAGCTATACTGTCAGTATAATGGCCTCTTACAGATAAGAGTAATGGAGAACCTACTGCGCCGCAGTCTCACACCAGTAACTCAGATCCGGAACAGCCAGGGTAGCCAATTCCTCAACAAGCGTGGGAATCAACATGGCCTCATTGCCAGGAAGAACCGTCTGGCAGAAAGACACCTGCTCCTTGCACTTGTTCTTCGCGTTGACGACGCCGGTGCCGTCCTTGCAGTAGGGACGGTCCGGGAAGGGCTTCTGGATCTCGCCGTTCTCGTCGCAGTACAGTCCACCATTCTACTCTTGTCAGTCACGCCCAACAAAGATTACTCCTAGGCAGCTTACCATGGACATGGGGTAGGTGTACGAAGTAGCCTCCGGGTCCCATTGCATAGAGACCTGGCCAGCCGGACAAGCATACGGGCAGTATCCACCAGGCTTGCACTCCTGGTCAGGGCTCATAGCCCATCCACCATTGACCTCGTGGGGAGTGATAGGGATCAAGCCAGCACCGGAGGGGAACTGACACGAGGAACTTTTCTTCACCACGGGGGCATCCACCGAGCGATGGCTGCGGTGGTGGCCATGGTCATGGGCGTGCTTGGCTGCTTGAACAGCAGTCATGGCTAGGAAAGCCACCGTTGCGCTAGTGGCCTTCATTGTTGTATGAGATGTGTATATGTATGTATGTTGTATGTATATGTAACCAAAGGTGGAGTGATGTGATATGTATGGGTCAGTTTTGTGAGATATATAGCAGACAAGTAGGCACGTAAGTATAGAGAATAATAATATGACACCAAGACAGACCACGCGAAACGAAAGACTAGGGTCAGTAAAGACAAGAACGAGAGACTGGACCGAAGCAAAGAAAGAGAAGAAGAAGAGAAAGAAAAAGAGAGACAAAAGCCGGCAGACCCAGAAGAAAAGAGAAACGAGGAACCCACTGCCACCACCATCAAACTACTAGAGAAAGACTACTAGGACTAGTAGCCTGAAAGTGATGCTCTCCCCGGGTTACCCAAACGGGATAGCCCTAAAGCTTCGATCCCAATTAGGCATGACCCGCTCAGGGGGGTCACGCCAATCAGCGGCCTTTGCGCCGCGGCAGTTCATGGAATACCCTCCGTATATTACTTCTTTGGGAATAGTGGAATAGTGTAGGTTACCGTACGGTTCCTGATGGATGGATAAGGGGTCCGTGGACCCTGAGACATTCATCCATACTTGGTGGTAGAACTCACAAAAGGGGAGTAAAGAAAGAGAGAGAGAGAGCGTAGCTGTGAACAATGATATCTCTGCTGAGTTTATCCAACTCAATCCTCAATTATTGCCATCTGTCAACTCAACTCAACTTTACCAGAATATGACACGGGACAAACTCACAACCACTCCCTTCCTCTCCCAGGCAAGACATCACGATCAGCATCCGTCCAGACCGGATCAGCATCCTATTCCAGTATAAGTCACAAAGTAGTGCTCGAGTCCATTCGAGTCAGTGCCTTTCTGCCTCTGGGCTAGTCTCAGTCACTGACCGGCACGGACTTTGGCAGTTGAAAAAAAGGGGGCGAGAAAGCAAGCCAATCGTACAGGCTCATAGGCGGGAGCTATGGTGCTAGCTTGGGCAATAGTCTATGTTTAGTCTGTGTCTCGCTTGCTCAAGAGCTCGTATCTATGGTCATGTTTGATTGCACCAATGGCTTGATTGCTGGGCAAATACTGGTTTCTCTGTCAGGTACTTTAGGCAATAATTGACAATAATAATATTATAATACTGGTATAAACAGGGGTCCTTGGGGTGGTTTGCATGCACGTTGCAAGCTTGGGCTGCCATGCACTTCACTCCACTGCATAGTACTTAGTCTACTCTCTCCTCTTTCTCGCCCCTTGGCCTGTGCGCTCAACGTGGATTTTCATTCATATATAATCTATTATATGATAGTCTGGGGAACTACTTGGGTGCAATAAATTAACTAGCTAGATAGTTATAATGTATGACGCACACACTACTCCATAACGACACAGTCATACTTCTTACTTCTTACTGTATTCCTACTCCTACTCCTCCTGCCCTTCCATCTCCCTCCATCCCTCAAACACTCCACCAGGGGTGTCCCTCCACCCCCAAGCAACACAGTAATGTCTTGCCAGTAACCTCCACTCCTCCATCTCATCCAACATCTCCAACCCTGCCACCCGTTCCTTCTCCCGCTCATTCACCCACCTCTCCCAGATGAAGTCCACATCCGCCGCCGCCTGTCCCCTGTCCAGTCCCAGCTCCCGTAACCTCCGTCGCTGCGCCTCTAGCGACGCATACTCTTGCAATGTCTGCAGCTGAATCCCCCTCGTGGCAAGATTTGCCACCATTGTGCGCCCGAATGCATCGTCGGGTCGGATGGGCTCATACAGAACCAACCCTACCGGCGTGGTCGCTGGGAAAATGGTCTCTGTGAAGTGGCGGACTACCGAGCTGGCTTCGCCGGGGGTGAGGTATATAAGACAACACTCGGACAGGAGGAGGGTAGGGAGAGTAGGATCGAGGCCTGGGAGGGCGGGTGAGGTGGGTAGACTGCGGAGATCGAGGGGGTGAAGGTGGTAGGAGGGCGAGTGGAGGGCGTCATTGGTTGGAGAGATTTCGACGTCGCCGCTGCTGCTGCTGAGAACGCGTTGGAGGAGAGGTGCGGCGCGGATGAGTTTGATCTTGGCGGAAGTGTTGACGGAAAAGTCGATCTCGTGGTAGACTAGATTCGATGCGTCGTAGGTAGGGGAGGAGAGGAGACGAAAGATGCGCGAGTCGGTGCCGGCGCCCAGGGAGATGATCTGTTTCTTGGGGTGAGAGGGATGGGCGCTCAGAAAGCGGGTGACGAGGCGATCGATGGCGGTGGTGCGGACGTAGGTACCTATGATGGTTAGAAAATAAGAATTTGGAGTCTGTTGACGGTAAAGTACCTCTGTTGATGATGGGAAGTCGACGGACTTCCATGCCCGGAGGCGTCAATGCAGGTGCGAAGACATCATCAAGATAGCCCAGATTCACAGCACTGAGGCGGGAGACGCTGGCGTCATTGTCGGTGCCCTGCACCACGCGATCTTTGGCGCCATGAGATCCATGGCCTGCATCACCGGGCTGGCCACCTCCACGACTTCGAAATCGGCCGCGACCACCGCCGCGACGCAGGGTGTTCAAGTTAGGGATGTGCGAGGCGGACATTGACGAGGAGGAGATGGAGAAGCTCAAGTTGGAGCTCCGCGGCGGAAAGTTGGTTGTGCCCCGCGGTGCCGCCCCCACAGGTTTTTTACTTCTACAAGCTGTCGGATCTACATATCTTACATATTTACTATGAGAACAAGTTACTCAACGGATGCTATTATTTGATTATACTGACAGATATTTTAGGAGCGAAAGTGTGAGCTGAACAACGAGATACTTTTGATTTCCTATTCTTCATCATTTCCCATCCATCATCATCCTCATCGTCATCTGCTGGCTTCCGAAAACGGGTTCGACATTGCTTGAACTTACTGTTGGCTCAACCCATTGACCATAAATGAAT